AAAATGTACTTCATTAACATCTAAAGCATGAACTTCAAAAATGCTAGCCTTTTGGAATTTTATATGCTACCTCGCCAGATAGATTAGCCAAACAGTGATCAATGCGGTGACAGATTTCTCGAGAATGCTACGTCTTGCTGTTTATCTTTTCTGCCTTTTGCTTGTACAGATTGTTTCCCTCTCATGCAAAGATTGCTGACTGTTAGCTTTTCTTGTTGTTGTATTCATTATGAAATTGTGTCTACTGAGTAATCCATCCCTGAGCCAGCCAGTCCAATTTGCTGTGCTTCTGGTAGTCACTTCTATTGCATTATTTATTCAGTGGGGCCTTGTTTACCTACAGTTCTCAGCTTTCAGTTAAATCATCTTTGGAAGAGGAGCAACGTAAGCTGTGAAGTGGCACTTTTTTAAACACCTGTGCATTTCCTATAGCTCTATCATTGTTATCTACAATGGTGCAATGACACCGAGGTGCACAGGTTTGGAGCAATAGTTTTTAATTTGCAAGGGAAATAACAACAACAACAACAACAACAACAACAACAACAACACGCCAGTAGAGGTGGTCCTAGTGGTGATTGGCACACTGGGTGCAGTGTCTAAAGACCTTGGCCTGTACTTAACACAATCAGCACTGACAAAATTACCATCTGTCAGCTGCAAAAGGCCACCCTACTGGGATCTGCACACATTATTCGTTGATACATCACATGGTCCTAGACACTTGGGAAGTGTCTGATGTGTGATCCAATGCAACAGCAAGCATAGTGATCTTGTTTGCTGTGTACTAATCTTGTTGTGTTATAATAATAATAATAATAATAATAATAATAATAATAATAATAATATAATAACTGTTATTATTATTTTATTTCTTGGTTGATGTGTGCCTTCAAGTTGATATTGACCTATGGTGACTCTCTCGATGGAGTTTCTTGGCAAGATCTGTTCAGAAGAGGTTTGTTTTGTCTTCCTTGGAGGCTAAAAAAGTGTGACTTACTGAAGGTCACAGTTTCATGACAGAGTGGAGATGTAAACCCGTTCTCCAGACTTGTAGCCCAACGCTTAAGCCATTACTCCATAGGTATACATACAACCCAGATACGATTAATCATGACAAAATCTTCAGTGGTTTGCTATGGCCTGGTTATGTGGGTATCAAGGATTTTACAAAACATCTGGTCCATTTTCTTTCAATAACCTTACCTCCCCTCCAAAGCTGTTTCGTAACTGTCTGGCAGAACAAATCAAGAATGCCTGTTGGGGAAGACCTCCCTCAAAGCTAGAAAGCACAGGTGAGAAAATGGAAGAGCAAAACAGAAGTACTTCTATATTTTCATACTTACAGTGTGCCCACCCCCAAATATGTACCCCTTTAACAACTTATAATAGGCATCGTGATTATTTGAAGCTAAGTAAATACATTTATACTGAAGAATAAATAATAATATAATCAGAGTTATAATTTCCATCTCAAATGACAATTTCATGCCAGATGTTCAAAGGATTTTCCCTGTGCAGCAATGCATGCCGACCCCTAGTCGTAGCAGAGTTGCCCACCTCATTTCCAAGGTTCTGTACTCATTTTGCCAAATCTCCCTATTATTGACATTTTTAATTCTGTGGCATTCTTGCATTTCTTTTAGCCATTTCTGGTTCATGGCGACCTAATAATAATAATAATAATAATAATAATAATAATAATAATAATGTTAAAAAACAAAGTATGGATCGTTGATATCGCAATCCCAGGTGACAGCAGGATTGCAGAGAAACAACTGGAAAAGCTGACACAATATGAGGATTTAAAGATCGAACTGCAAAGACTGGCACAAGCCAGTAAAGGTGGTCCCAGTGGTGATCGGCACACTGGGTGCAGTGCCTAAAGATCTTGGCCTGCACTTAAACACAATCGGGACTGACAAAATTACCATCTGCCTGCTGCAAAAGGCCACTCTACTGGGATCTGCACGCATCATTCGCTGATAAATCACACAGTTCTAGAAAACTGGGAAGTGTCTGACATGTGATCCAATTCAACAGCCAGCAGAGTATCTGCTGTGGACTCATCTTGTTGTGTTTCAAATAATAACAACAACAACAACAACAACAACAACTTACGTCACAAGTACCACCTGTCAGCAGTAAAGAACTGGTGGGATCATAAACCTGCAAAGGTAGTGGAAAATGAGCACGCAAAAATATTGTGGGACTTTTGAATCCAGACTGACAAAGTTTTGGAACACAATATGCCAGACATCATGATTGTGGAAAAGAAAAAAATTTGGATTATTGATGTCGCCATACCAGGTGACAACTGAATTGACGAAAAACAACAGCAAAAACTCAGCCGTTATCAAGATCTCAAAATCGAACTGCAAAGGCTCTGGCATAAACCAGTACAGGTGGTCCCAGTGGTCATCGGCATTGGATAGACCACATCACCTCTAGATGATTAAATATGGTTTACAGTGGGCGAGAAGATTGCAACTATTGGATAGCATGTGTTCTGTATCAGAAACTAGAGCTGATGTGGTCTATCCAATGCAATTTTCTGAATCAGCACCCCAAATAACCAAAAAGGTAAAGGTAAAGGGTTTTCCCTAGCCGTGTCCCACTCCCTGGATTCGAACCACCGACCTTTCGGTCAGCAAGCTAAGCGATTTAACCAGCTGTGCCACCGGGGGCTCCAAATAAGCAAAACGAAACTAAAGTTGACCTAAAACTGATTTGTATCCCTTTTGGTACTAATGTTGTAGAGTGGTCCCTGGTCAAACTGGTCCCTGGTCAAAAGAAGGTTGGGAACCACTGCGTTACAAGAAAAACAGTCCACTATGATCCACTGGAAAAAAATTTTTTAAATGTATTGTGGGAAATTTAGCCATGTTTGAAAACCAATGTTTTGGGAAAAGTAATATTGTATTGTCGAAGGCGTTCATGGCCGGAATCACTGGGTTGTTGTAGGTTTTTTCGGGCTATATGGCCATGTTCTAGAGGCATTCTCTCCTGACGTTTCGCCTGCATCTATGGCTAGCATCCTCAGAGTAGAAGTAATATTATTTTAAAAGACCTGTAGTGGTTCTGTTTCACCAGAGCAGGTCATTGGCTTTTTGAAGGAAGTGAGAGTGAAGAGAGAAGGCTGGGTGCTGCGCATTGAACTGTGTTCTGACTTCTGAGGCTAGGCTTCAACAATCAAGCTTAGCCTAATATATATATTTTTAGCATCACAGAGATGTCTTCTGCCTTCTTCACCTACTCCACCACATTTCCCAATTAAATTAAAATAATGAATAAATGAAATGAGAATAAAATAGAAAAAATGAAAGAGGGATATCTTATTGATTAAATTAAACTGCGAACTGAGAAAACTTAATGAAATCAGCAAAGGAAATACACTGGTTTCTGGATGCTTTGTTTACTTGCTTGGTAATTTTTAAAAATATTTTCTGAAGGAGGGAGAGGAGGAAAAAAATATAAGAAGAGGAGAGAAGCAAAATAGTTTGGGTGGGTCAGGGCTCAGAGACACCCTAATATTTTCAAAGCAAAGCACACTCACCCACCCAAGAGATGCTTTTTCTCCCCATCCAAACACGCACCCACAAAGGGACCCAAAGCAGCTTGTAACATATTGAAAACAATACAAGTCCAAGAATCAGCATATTTAACACTTAAAACCATCTATAAAATAAAACATAAATAGCATTTTAAACCAAATACGTTATTGTAGAGCAGGCATGGGCAAACTTTGGCCCTCCAGGTGTTTTGGACTTCAACTCCCATAATTCCTAACAGCCTACTGGCTGTTAGGAATTATGGGAGTTGAAGTCCAAAACACTTGGAGGGCCAAAGTTTGCCCATGACTGTGAGACTCGCAGAATCATATTGCACTTCCCTCCGCTCAATGAAAGTTGGTGTTCCTATACCTCAGACTATACACACACATACACACACACATCTATATATACAAATAAGATGTAATGTTTGTTTGTGGGATTAACATAATGCAAAAACCACTGGACAAATTGACACCAAATTTGGACACAATACACCTATCAGGCCAACAAATGACCATCACTCATAAAAACACTGAAAAACATAGCAGTGAGAGTTAAAAATCCAAAAAACAAAAAATACATTACAATTCATGCGCATAACCACATATATACACAAACACACATATATACAAATATACAGATGGTCCATGAGGTCACAAAGAGTCGGAGACGACTGAACAAATGAACAACAACAACAACAACATATACACACACAAAACACATATACACAGACTGGGCCAGAGCAACGCGTGGCAGGGGATGGCTAGTATACACACACACACACACACACACACACACACACACACACACACATACAGCGTCCCCCCAAAAGTATGCACCCACTCACACATCCACTCACCCATCCATCTACCTAATGTTTAGGAGATCCCACCTGGACATTAATAATAATAATAATAATAATAATAATAATAAAAACTTTATAACCCACCACCATCTCCCCAAGGGGACTCGGGGCAACTTACACAAGGCCAAGCCCACAATACAATATATAAATATACAACAGAACACAGCAATAAAATAAAATGAAAATACAAAGCAGTGCATTGTAAATAATACACCACTGTTCAACAGTGGAACTCTCTGCCTCGAAGTCTGGAGGGAGCTCCTTCCTTGGAAGCTTTTAAATAGAGCCTGGATGGCCATCTATCGGGGATGCTTTGATTGTGTTTTTCCAGTATGGCAGGGGGTTGGACTAGATGGGCCCATGTGGTCTCTTCCAACTCTAGGATTCTATTATTGTATCTATCGGGTGGCTGGCTGACTGCATACAATCTATCATCTCATATATGTGTGTACACAAGGTCCCCCCCCCCCTTCCAGTGCCTGTTCCCTTAAGAGCCCTGTGTGTGTGTGTGTGTGTTCCTAAAAGGGCATGAGTCCGCCACAGCCAGGCGCGGAGTCCCTTCTCCTCTCCCAAGGCCCTTCCCTTCCCTCCCCTCCTGCTCGGCCCTCCCCTTGCGGTCCTCTGTCCCCTTCAGCCCGGCGTTGCGGCTGCCTCTGGCCGGGCTGCAGTCAGTGCCGTAGAGGAGGAAGAGGAGGAGGAGGAGGCGGAGGAGGCCCAGGCCGGCAGAGGAGAGAGAGAGAGAGCGTGGCCTCCTCTCCGGATCGCGCTCCTAATAAAGCCAGCCGGGCGCAGGCAGCCCTGTCTATTAATACCGCTCGCTCGCTGCCGCTGCCTCTGCCCCGGGAGCCGGCAGGATGCCCCGCGTGGACGCCGACCTCAAGCTGGACTTTAAGGACGTGCTGCTCCGGCCCAAGCGCAGCAGCCTCCGGAGCAGAGCCGAGGTGGGCAGGCGCCCCCCCTCCCTCTTCCTCCCGCTCTTCCTCCCGCATTATACGAGTCTCCACTGACCTTAGCATGCAGTTCAAACTGCATTGCTTGGCAGTGGAGCTCCAGCCTAACAGGAACCAAGTCCTTTCCTCCCTCCCTCCCTTCCTTCCTTCCTTGCTTCCTTCCTTCCTTTCCTCCTTCCTTTTTTTCCTTTCCTTCTTCCTTCCTTTCCTTCCTTTTTCCTTCCTTCCTTTCTTTTTCTTCTCCTTTTTCCTTCTTTTCTTTCCTTCCTTTCCTTTTTCCTTTCCTTCTTTCTCCTTTCCTTCCTTCCTTCTTTTCTTCCTTTCTTCTTCCCTCCTTCCTTTTCCTTCTTCCTTCCTTTCCTTCCTTCTTTCCTTCATTTCCTTTTCTTCCTTCCTTCCTCCTTTCCTTCTTCCTTCCTTCCTTCTTCCTCCTTTCTTTTTCCTTCCTTTCCTTCTTCCTTTCTTTCTTTCCTTCCTTCCTTCCTTCCTTCCTTCCTTCCTTCCTCCTTCCTTCTTCCTTCCTTCCTTCCTTCCTTCCTTCCTTCCTTCCTTCCTTCCTTCCTTCCTTCCTTCCTTCCTTCCTTCCTTCCATGCCCTCTTTCCTCTCTCCTGACAACCCCAGTGTCCCAATAAGGCCTTTGGGTCCCTCCATGTTTTCCCCCCACTCCTTTCCCCCTCCTTGGGGTCACTCTCATTCCTCCCCCTGAAACTGGCAGGCGGGCTCTTCTTCTCCGTTGTCAACTTTCCTCCCCCCCCCCCCCCGGGTTCTGTCCCTTGGCAGGTGCAAAGGCTGCTGGGGCTTTTCTGTGGGGTTTTGCCAGGAGAAGGGAAGGTGACCTGGAAATAGGATAACCTTGTGGGGATATAAGGCGGAAAGGCACAGAGAAGTGACCTCACTGGGGGTCATTGGGGTCACTCAGTTTGCAAACCTAGGCTGACTGGTGGTTTGTTTTGTTTTGTTTTGAAATTAACATTAAATTGCTAGTTTTCATCCAATTTAAAAGCAAGCAAGTAAGCAAGACGAAGGAAGGAAGGAAGGAAGGAAGGAAGGAAGGAAGGAAGGAAGGAAGGAAGGAAGGAAGGAAGGAAAAAGGAAGGAGGAAAGGAAGAAGGAAAGGAAGAAGTAGGAAAGGAAGGAGGAAAGGAGGAAGGAAGGAAAGAGAAGAAAGAAGGGGAGAGGAGGAAGAAAGAAAGAAGAAAAGGAAGGAAAGGAAGAAAGGAGGAAAGAAGGAAGGAAGAAGGAAGAAAGAACGAAAGGAAGGAAACAAAAGAAAAGAAAGGAAGAAGGGAAGGAACGAAAGAAGGAAAGGAAGGAAGAAAGAAAGAAGGGAAGGAGGGAGGGAGGGAAGGAAGGAAGGAAGGAAGGAAAGAAAGAAAGAAAATGACTTGGTTCCTGTTAGACTGGAGCTACACTGCCAAACAATGCAGTTTGAACTGCATTATAAGGTCAGTGAAGACCCATATAATGCAGTTTGGTGCAGTTCAGACTGCATCACATAAGCCAGCTTTACACTAACCATACAATGCAGTTCAAACTGCATTACATAGCAGGGTAGATCCAGCCTCCAATGATTTCTCACTTTATTAGCAAATATTATTGTTTACGTGTTTATGTTGATGGATCCCCCGGTGGCGCAGTGGTTAAACCACTGAGCTGCTTAACTTGCTGACTGAAAGGTCGGCGGTTCATATCCGAGGAGCAGGGTGAGCTCCTGCTGTTAGCCCCAGCTTCTGCCAACCTAGCAGTTCAAAAACATGCAAATGTGAGCAGATCAAAAGGTACTGCTTCGGCAGGGAAGGTAATGGCGCTCCATGCAGTCATGCCAGCCACATGACCTTGGAGGTGTCTACGGACAATGCCGGCTCTTTGGCTTAGTAATGGAGAGGAGCACCAACCCCCAGAGTTGGACATGACTAGACTTAATGTTAAGGGGAAACTTTTACCTTTATTTATGTGTTCAATTTATGGCAACCTCGTGAACTTTATAGGGTTTTCTTGGGCAGAGAATACTCAGGCCCCTTCTACACTGCGATACAATGCAGGTTATCAAAGCAGAAAATCAAGATTATCTGCTTTGAACTGGATTATATGAGTCTACACTGCCATGTAATCCAGTTTAAAGCAGATAATCTGGATTTTATACAGTTGTGTAGAAGGGGCCATAGCCTCTAGCACAGGCATGGGCAAGCTTCAGCTCTTCAGATATTTTGGACCGGTAGGCTGTTAGGAATTGTGGGAGTTGGAGTCCAAAACACCTGGAGGGCCATAATTTGCCCATGCCTGCTCTTGCACTTGGTATTTATTGGAAGTTTCCATCTGAAGACTAACCACTGCAGATTCTGCTTAGCTTTCAAGATCAAGCCAGAGCTTTCCAAACCTTTCCTGTTGGTGACATATCTTTTTAGACCTGCATCATTTTGTGACACATTAAATCCAGTTTTACTAGCAAACCGGAAGTTGATCCAACCCATTATTATTATTATTATTATTATTGAACCATCTCTATTATTATTTTTTATTATTATAACCCTTTAGAAGAGATAAGGCGACATGCATAAATTACAATAACAAAATGTTATTGTTTATATATTTAAAAATATATGATGCATTGATTATTTCGTGTAGACTTTGTTATGTTCATGCAACGTACCTACTCACTGCAGCCGGCACACTAACTAACATGTCCCAATGCAGTTTGGAAAGCTTTCCTTGAGGATATTTAGGCCGGAGCTTTGGTTTACATATATTAATTTATCATCCCGCGCTCTCTAACGTTTACATGATTTCTCTTCTTTCTGTGCTCAGTCCTTTTCTGATCATTCTGTAGTTGCAGAAAATCCATAAAGGGCTTCCAGTCTCACTTCTTTAAAAGTCACTAATGGTTTATCTGCAGTCTAGCAAACTGATTTATCCATTAGTGTTTGCTGTATGTCAACAACAATGGCAGGCTCGTGCTTTCTTTGAGACAGGACAGGTAATATTAGAGAGGAGTGACAAAGTGAGAGGGCAAGGCAGGTCACCTGCAATGAATAAATAAATGCAACACAAAAGCAGGGTAATATGTTGAAGCTTTTATGATCTGGCAAGCAAGTAAAAAAAAACCAACCCTTTCCCCACGTAGTATTAACTGTTAGATGGATGTGGTACATATGTAGTATGTTAGATGTAATATTAGTTGTGCATTGCTACTATAGTGTGTTTCTTGATCCCTGCTGGGATTTGGTTCCACGACCCACATTGATACCAAAATACATCAATGCTCAAATCCCATTGCTGTATATAAAATAACAATCTGTTAATTATATTAATGTGTTAATTGTATTGTGTCACGTTGATTAAAGCTGTTTTTTGATTTGTTGTATTTTTCACTGGCATTGAATGTTTGTCACTGTATTTTATATTGTTGTAAGCCGCCCTGAGTCCCCTTGGAGAGATAGGATGGGCTATAAATAATAATAATTATTATTATTACTTTTATTATTATTTATAGCCCACCCTATCTCTCTTTATTGTTCTAAAATAGTACCCCTTATATAAAATGGCAAAATTTCTGGATTTTTCCCAAATATTTTCAAGCATGGATGCAGAATGCATGGATACAGAGAACTGGCTGTATAGGAATTTCAGTAAAGGGCAAAGTTTAGCCCTGACATTAAGTCTAGTTGTGTCCAACTCCTGGGGGGAGGGGGGTGGCGGTCATCTCAATTTCTAAGCCGAAGAGCCAGTATTGTCCTTAGATGCCTACTAGGTCATTTGGCCAGCATGACTGTATGGAGCGCCGTTACCTTCCTGCTGCAAAAGTACTTATTGATCTACTCACATTTGCATGTTTTCAAACTACTAGGTTGGCAGAAGCTGGGGCTAACAGCGGGAGCTCACCCTGCTCACCAGATTTGAACTGCTGACCTTTCGGTCAGTAAGTTCAGCAGCTCAGCAGTTTAACCACCAGGAATTTCAGTATAGAATGTCAGTATCTTATGTTTTTATTACTTTTCTATTCCATATCTATATCTGTATTGAAAAGGACCCTGAAAATCCCATGTTTCAACATGAAGAAGGATGAGGATGTATTCAAAAATTGGGCTTTGAAAAAAGTGAATTTGTAGTAATGTTAATTATATAATGTATATATTGTCAGCTATGTTACATGTAGATTACGTAATAGGTTATGATATTATTTTTTTCGGTATAATTTGGCTGTAGACATTTTTTTTGGGGGGGGGGGGACATGGTTGTTTGGTTTATGTGTCTTATTTATGAATTGGATCTGGCATTGAATGTTTGTCATATTTTGTTGTGAATCTGCCCTGAGTCTCCTTGGGGAGAGTGGGTGGAATGTTAATAAGTTATTATTATTATTTGAAACACAAGATGAGTCCACAGCAGACACTCTGCTGGCTGTTGAATTGGATCACACGTCGGACACTGTGTCTAGGACTGTGTGATGTATTGGCGAACAATGTGTGCAGATCCCAGTAAGGTGGCCTTCTAAAGCTGGCAGATGGTAATTTTGTCAGTGCCAATTATGTTTAAATGCGGGCCAAGGTCTTTAGGCACTGCACCCAGTGTGCCGATCACCACTGGGACCACCTTGACTGGTTTGTGCCAGAGTCTTTGCAGTTCGATCTTTAAATCCTCATATCGTGTCAGCTTTTCCAGTTGTTTTTCTGCAATCCTGCAGTTGTTGTTGTTGTTGTTAGGAGTCTAGACACTTTTAAAATTATGCACGGCACAGAAATAACGGGTAGACCTCTTCTAATATTTGAACCTGGGATTGCTTGCAAGAAAGTTGAATGATCGGAGATTCAAGCTACCCCAAAAAAAGAAAAAGGACTTTTCCCATAGGATATACAGTGCCACCAGGTATGGTAATGGTTGGTAACTTGGAGGCCTTTAGAAGTAAACTTCACAAAACTAATCAATGGCTTTTAGATAATATAGCCATAAAATGGCGTCCAGTGCTCATTTAAGCGATCCCTCATTGTCTGAG